TCCCTCTGTGGCCTCGCCCCTGCACAGTCCCTCCCGATTTATGCTGGGAACACCCACCTTCACCAGAACCCGGAGGAGTTCTCTGTCTCTGCAGCTCCAGGGCCCGGGGCGCCTTCGTCCTCAGCCGCCCTCAGGGTGGTCTCCTCCACGCAGTTTCAAGGGCAGCCCCACCTGGGGGACGGCTCTCCCAGTCACCCTCCTGAGGGGCTCCAGCAGGGCAGACCAACGGCTCTTAAAGCAACGTTTCTATATGAAAAGAAACGGAGGCACAAACAGCACCAAGGGTTGTGTGTTGGAAAGAGGTCTCCCATGTCCTTCCAAAAGGGCTGTGCCCTACAGTGCCAGCCTGGGCACTCACGGAGGCGAGGTCGTCCAGTTTCATGATGAGAAAACTGGGGAACGTCTGCGCATGGTCTTTGTGCCACCGTTAGGAGCAGGGGGCTTGTTCACAATGAGAACGCGTGCCAGCTGCCCGTCCAGGGGGCTACTGTTCGTGGGAAACACCACGTTCTTTTCTTTCTTTTGTTCTGAGACAGAATCTTGCTCTGTCACCCAGGCCGGAGTGCGGCTCACTGTAGCCTTGGCCTCCAGGGTTCAAGTGATTCTCCTGCCTCAGCCTCCCGAGCAGCTGGGATTCCAGGCACATGCCACCACACCGGGATAACTTTTGTATTTTGGGTAGAGATGGGGTTTCACCATGATGGCCAGGCTGGTCTTGAACTCCTGACCTCAAGTGATCCGCCCCCCTCAGCCTCCCAAAGTGCTGGGACTGTCCTAGACCAGGACTTTCCATTCACGCTTCCAGGAAGATAAAGCAGCAAATAGCTATCACTTATTGAGGATCTTCCCAAAAGACCTGGTGGCTCTTCAGTAGAAATCGTTAGGGGGCACCTCAAGACTCAGCACCCGTAGCCTCAAAATTCGAAACTACGTTTTCAGAGGCCTGGCTCAACCCTAACCGAGTCCCCGCCTTGAAAGACCGACCTCACCTCAGACTCCAGCCCCAGGAGTGCCGGGGAGCACTGGGGTGACCTGCCCTTGGGTCTTTTGGCAACGTTTCAGGGAGCCAGCATTCACCCCAATGCTCGTGGCATCTTGCAGTTCTGTGGCCAGGGCTGATTTGTCCTGCGGGGTCGCATCTGTGACGCCGCAGAGGTCGGTCCGCGTCCCTCCTCGATACACAGCCTGGCTGCTGCCCCGCGCCGGGGTTTGCAAGGCTGCGTGGCGCCTCTCTGATTCTGAGTGCGGTTCAATTTCTCCTCCTTGGCTTGGCCACTTGATGGCTTTTTCTCCGAACACGCCGCTCATATCTGTTGTTCTCTGGGGATCTGGAAGGGTTATTTATCGTAAACCAAAAATAAAATTCTAAGGGACTCCAACCATCTCAATGGACCCTCCTCTCGACTAGGGTATCCAAAGTGAGCCTGAAAAACTGGCTCAGGCCATGACGGGAAAGGGCCCGACAGCCTCCTTATCCCCCTCTCTCTAGGAATTCGGGGAAGGCCGACCCGCACTGCCGTCCACATAGACCTTCAGTCTGTTGAGAAACATTTGCCAGCTCCTCTCTCGGAAGCCTGCTACCTGGAGGCTTCACCTATTGCTAAAAGCCTGGTCTCCACAACCCTCATCATCAGACATTCCTTTCCACCGACTCTAGGTCTTTAGATAATCTTAACTCTTTCAACCAATTGCCAATCAGAAAATTTTTAAATCCACCTGAAACCTGCAACACCCTGCTCTGTCTCCCAGAGTTGACCCGCCTTTCCAGATGGACCCAAATATGCTTTCCATGTATTTGACGGATGTCTTCAGTCTCCCTAAAATGTGTAGAACTAGACTGTGCCCAGCCACCTTGGACACATGTTCTCAGGGTCTCCCGTGTCACGGGCTATGGCCCCTCATATTTGGCTCAGAAGAAATGTCTTCAAATGTTTTACAGTGTTCGACTCTTTTCATGGACAGTATGTGCGGAGGGAATCGCGTGTTACATGCATGGGGCATATTTCCCAGTTTGTCTTGTCTTTCAGTTTGTTTACAGTATTCCTATTTTATTTTTTTAGATTTTTAGGTAGTATTTATGAATCCCAATCCAGTTTCGTGTCTTGTATTTCTTTTTAAAATTTTTTTCAATAGCTCTATTGAATATACTTTGTGTAGCATGCACTCCACCCGTTTGAAGTGTGTGATTCAGTGGTTTTTAGTATATGCACAGTTTGGGCACATTTTCTTCATCTTGAAAAGAAACCCTGAATGCTGTATCACCATTGTGGCTCCGTTCCTGTGAGACCGTGAAATGTTTATTTTGTGAGATTGTGAGATGGATATTTTGGTTTCCTGACATACAGCTCCTAACACCCTTGGACTCTCCAGAGTGACAAGGGCATCTTTCGTACACTAATGAGGGGACTGGTGACCGGGGGTCTCCAGGGAGCCTTGCGATGGGGGCTGGCAGGATTAGCGGGCTGGGACTCCAGCCCCACCCCCAGCCTTCAGGGGAGGGGTGGGGGCTGCAGGTTGGGTTGATCAGTGGCCGGTGGCTTAATCAATCATGCCTATGTAATGAAGCCTCCTCAGTAAATTTCCCAGAAGGACAGGGTTCAGGGAGCTTCCAGTGGCAGAATTCTCGCAGGTGCCTGGAGGTGGTGCTGGGAGAGCCTGGGAGCTCCTCGCCCGCGTGCCTGCCCTGGGTCTGCTCCCCGTGCTGTGCATTCGCACCTTCGTTACAGCCTGGGTCATAAATGGGTAAACGCAGCTCAGTGTGTCCCAGCATCCTGTGAGCCGCTCCAGCAAGTTGTGGGAACCCTGAGTCATGGCAGGTGGGTCAGAAGCATGGGCCACGCCCGGGACTTTCGACTGGCATCGGAAGTGAGGCTCGTCACAAGGGACTCGACCTGAGGGATCTGACGTGACCTCCTTGAGGATGGCGTCAGAATTGAGTTGAGAACACCCAGCCGGTGTCCACTGCAGGCTGGGTTGTTTGCTGGTGGAGAGAAATACACAGACGCCTTGGTTGTGGGGTGAAGCCCTGTACCGCAGGAAAAGCACACTGGTTTTTCCCTGTTTCTTTTTGTTTGTTTTTTAAGATGCAGTCTCGCTCTGTGGCCCAGGCTGGAGTGCAGCGTCGTGACCTCAGCTCACTGCAACCTCTGCCTCCCAGGTTTAAGCTATTCTCAGGTTCCCCTGTCGCTAGGATTACAGACATGTGCCACCACGCCTGGCTAATTTTTGTGTTTTTTGTGGAGACAGGGTCTCACCATGTTGCCCAGGCTGGTCTCAAACTCCTGACCTCAGGTGACCCACCCTCCTTGGCCTCCCCAAAGCGCTGGAATTACAGGCGTGAGCCGCCGGCCTCTCCCTGTTTCTTAATAACCACCGCCGCTCCCTGGAAACCACCCACCTCCTTTTCCTTCCCGTAGCGCTCCCTATTCCGGCCATTTCTGAGAAATAGACCCGGCCTCTGCTTGGCCTGTTGTGTGTGGCTTTTGTCACGTAGCGTCGTGTTTCCAAGGCCCCGTGTTTTGGCGTGGATCGGCGCTTCGTTCCTTTACGTGGCTGAATGATGTTCCGTGGTGTGGATCTGTCGTCTCTGCTGATCCGTCCATCAGCCGATGGGCATTTGGGTTTTTCCACCTTTTGCCCACCGTGGAAACCGCCGGGGCGAGTGTTTGTGCACAAGCTTTTGTGTGGCCGTGCGTTTGCGTCTCTTGGGCCGGGCCTAGGGGCGGAACTGCTGTGTTTACAGTGACTCTGTGTCCAATCCGTTCTGGAATGCGTCCCGCTTTTCTATTCTGAATTGTCTAGCATTTAAAAATCTCCTCTGATTCAGCTCGAATGCCTTTGGCAATGGCGAGAGAGGCGGGGATCCAACCTTACCCGGTTCCCTCCGCGGTGCCCGGCGGCGGTGGCTGCCAGCGTGCCCCGTCCCTCCCCTGCAGATCTGAGAGGCACTCCATTGTCTTGTCACCTCTATCTTGGGCTTATCTGGGCATCTCCAGGGCCCGGTTTGTGTTTTCCTCTGTGCCCGGGGCTACTCTGACAGTCGTCCTGCACCTAACTGTGGGTGGCCCTGCCTGGGACACCCTCTCCTTGTGGAGCAGCCTGACAATTACCTCAGGTGATTTCTCATGAGAACTTTGCCAAGGTGAGACCAAGAAAAACCACGGGAAGGGCCTGGCAGTGCTTTCTTGGCAGGTGATAATTCGGTGTGGGGGGCGGGGGAGGAGGGAGGGAGGGAGGGAGCCGCGTCTTGCAGTGTTGACTCGCCTCGGAGGGTCTCTTCGAGGGCACTACCGGGCTTACGTGGGGGTCTCATTCAGCCTCGGCGTTGGAAGCTCAGCCATGACACGATGTTTGCCTAGTGAGTGAACAGCTTCCACGTCCGCCCTGCGATGGGCAGCCACAGCTGCGTCACCTCAGCCGGATTCATCCCACTCCAGCGTCACTCCCCAGCGCCCTGCCCTGCGTGCTGGGTACCCAGGGGCCAAGAGGAGCTGGAGGTAGTGTTCCCTGCCAGAGCTGGGGGCTCCTCAAGAGGGGCAGGCCGGACCACTGGCCCAGGGGTTTCTGTGAGGGTGAGGATGCCCCAGCCCGCCTCGCCTCTTCCCTGCATCCTCCCCTCCCTGTCCAGAAGGCCTGCTGCAGCTGTCTTCGTCAAGGGCCCCGCCTCCCTTCCTCCACCTTGCACAGCCTCCATGTTGCAGCTGGGACATCCTTTCTCTGCGGCTCCCCACCTCCCGCTCTGGGGTGGGGGCTCCTCGTGGGCCCCAGCTCCACCTTCCACTGTGGCTGCTTCAGGAGCAGCAGCTGCCTGGGGGGCCTGGGCCCTGTGCCCTTCGGGCCTGACGGTTGGCTGGAGGTGGGAGGGCTGGTTTGTGATAAGGGCAGGTGGGGTTGGGGTGGGAGGGTTTAGCCTGGGGTGAGGGAGCAAGGCACCCCCACATCCACTCCACTCCACCCCAAGCCCAGGACAGCGGGCTCCACGCTCATGGACAGCTTGTGTCAAGTGATCCATTTTATTGGGGGGAGGTCAGGACTGGAAGGGATGGCAGGTCCTAAGGGCCCCAGGCTCGGACAGCAGCAGATTTAGGCAGGACTCCATGAAGGACCCCCGAGGACAAGGAGTGCTGGATGGTGATTGCCGAGGCCGCGAGGTGTGGTCTGGCCAGGCTCGAGGGAGGGCGGCCCTGAGCGCCAGGCCTGGGGTGGGGCCATGGGACCGAGCGTCCAAGGTCCTGGAGGAGGGCGGCCGTCACTGTTGGTTGCAGAGGTTGGCCTGGCAGCAAGCAATGGACACGTAGGGGCCCAGGCCCAGGTCGTGGATATTGGGGCAGCCCCTGTGGCATGACTTGGTGACCAGAGGCAAGTCCCCAGGGTTGTTCAGGCCCCCTGAATGGGCAGAAGAGAAACCGTGGAGCTCTCTGAGGCTCTGATGTGCCCAGACCCTGCCACCCCATCTGCCGTAGAGCTAGGGTCAGATGCCCCAGGTACATGAAGCATGCGGACACTCCTGGGGCAGACGTGGTGGCCCTTGCTCATGCCCTTCCCTGGACCTGGGTGGTGGACACTGCCCTCTGTGCTTCTGACTTCCTGGGAGCCTGGATCAGGCTCTGTCCCCCTCTGAGCCCACATCTTCCCATCTGGGCAAGAAGGGTGTGGGCAGCCCATGAGGTCCCCACTCACGGGTGGCAGTAGTGACGCAGTGGGTGGAGTCCCTGGGGCATCTGAACTCGCGGGAGCACCCTCTGAAGCCCTGGCACTGGTGACACCACATGGCTTGAGCTGCAGCCGCGGGCATGGGGACAGACAGGACAGAAACGGGGGGCGGGAGGCAGGTGTGGGCCACTTGTGCAGTGACGGCACCCACTCAGCTCTGCCCAGCACGCCATGTCCCTTCTCAGGGACCAGTCTCCCAACCCTGTGATTTGGCCCTCTCAGGAGCCGGGCCCCTGTCCCTCATCCTGGGGCGCCAGCTGTCCCTGCAGCTGGAGCCAGCTGGTTGCATCCTTGCCCAGGAAGGAGCCTCGGGCAGGTGGGGCCAGGCAGTGTGACGTCCCAGGGGAGTGGGGGTGCAGCAGCCTGGGCTGTTTGGGGTCCTGGGTGGGGGTGTGGGGGGAGGTGGAGGGCCCCTGAGACGCGATTGATGCTTGAGACCCCCGGGACTGGATTCTGAGATGATGGGACCGTTCCTGCCTCCACAGGGGGCCCAGGGCAAGGGCGACCAGGACGTGGCAGCGCCCAAGCAGCAGCAGGGAGTGGAAGCTCTGCCTCACTTTACCCAGGAGGACGGCAAGCTCAGGAGACACTAGCTCTTCCGCCAGTGCTGCTGTGGGTCTGCCCAGCCATCCTGATCTCTGCTTTGGGCACGGCCCCACCCCCGAAGCCCGCCAGCCCTCCTGGGCACCCCAGCAAGGACTTTCCTGCCTGCTCTCTGCCCCTCTGCGTCCCTGTCTCTGTCCTCTCCTCCCAGGTCGCCTTGCTCCATTTCCCAGCCTCAAACCCCCTCCCTCCCTCCCGCCCTGTCCTCACCACCCGGTTCGCACACCCAGGACTGGGTAAACAGAGTCCCTAATGCCTGCTGGCCCTGGGCCTGCTCCCTCTGCATAGAACCTGGAGGGTGGCAGGGCCGATGGTGTGACCACGGGACGTGAGGGCTGCTGTGTTACAGATACCCGGTGGGCGCTGGCCCTGGCTTCCTGTCGAGCTGTGCCCAGGCAGCCCAGCCTTGGGACGCCCTGTCCCCTCTCAGCCTGGCTGCCCCCCTCCTCACGGTTGCCAAAGGTGGAGAAGGGCTGGAGTCGGCCGCAGTCAGCCCAGCTCCAAGCCCGGGTTCCTGTCAGTGTGGCTCTGCACGCACCAGCGCTGAGCCGACTCAGACCTCAGCGCACGCCCGGCCCTGCCAGAGTCCTCCGGTCACCCCTGGATCCTGAGGATGGAATCCTCCACCGAGGCACCATGGAGAGGGTGACACAGACGGGAAGTTTCCTCCATGGCTGGCACCTGCCATCAGCTTTGGTCCCTCTGCCAGCCCCAGAGAGCAAGCTGAGACCACACCTTTGAGCAAGAAAGGTGGTGACAGCTGCCTCCAAGTCCCGCCCTGCCCCTTCCCACCAAAGTGGCTTGAAGCTTCCCTTGGCTGTCACATCCAACCCAGTGACAGCCAATAAGCTGGACATGCTCTGCTGGACACTGGCTGCCACAGGCCACAGCTGGCTGGGGTGAGGGGTAGCAGGGAAGACCGGCAGGAGACTGGGGCACCAGAAGGAAGAGGTGAGGATACGTGTGCCCAAGGGTGCCATGGAGAGAACCAGCCCCTGCCTGCCCCCCCTGCACACACCCACCCTCCCAACACCTCCCTGGCTTCAAACTTGCTGCTCCTTCTGCCCTCTGAGCAGACAAGCCCTAGTGCAAATGCCACCTCCTCCAGGAAGGCCTCATGGGTTTCCAGGGCAGAGTGAACAGCCTCGACTCTGACACACCCACTGCGAGCTGCATCGTCCTGCCCCAGTTGGCATCAGTGTCCCTGTTGCGTGTGACTGTGTTCAGGGCTCCCTCCTCACCCCTACCCAAGCATGAGGGCCTCTGAGGCAGGGTGGGGGGTTCTACCCACTCCTCAGTGCTCCCTCCCCTGCATGCAATGGGGCCCAGGAGAGGCTTTCGGGATGAATGAATTCCGGGGGTGGGGATGTTCAGGCTGGGTTATCAAGAAAAATAATTCTGTCCTTTATCAGAGGGTTTTCATTTTCATCAATGAGATTCTGAGGGAGGCAGAGAAAATTTTAGCTTCAAACAGGAAAGGCTGCGCGATGGTGACTGTGGGGACACAGGAACAGTGTTCAGACTGGTGCCTGACACACGGTGAGAGAGGGAGGGAGGGAGGGAGAGGGTGTTGGGGGGAGAGGAGAGGGGAGGAAGAGAGGGAGGAGGAGAGGAAGGAAGGGAAGGAATGAGAGGAAGAGAGAGGAGGAGGGGGAGCAGCAGGTGAGGGAAGGGAGCAGGAAAAGCTGGAGGGAAAACGGGGCAGTGGGATGGGCTCTGGGTGCCGCTGCATGGCTGGCGGCGGGCCTCCCCCATTGGGGACCCCTGTGCTGGCTCTGAAACAGGCTGGCCCCTCAGGGAGATCATGCTGTCCGTGGGTGGCAGAGAGCAGACGCCAAGCAACGACTGGGGATGTGGGTGTCCCTGAGAGAGGCTCCCCAGTCTTCCAGCTGGAAGAGCAGTGAGACAACTTGGGCCTGTTCCTCGAGGGGCAGGTGGGATTTCAGCAGGGGGGGGCCTCTGGGTCCGAGGGGAGTCTGTGGGCACGGGGCATCCAGGCGAAGGCTCCTGTGATGTGCCTCTCCCTGCCCGGGTGGCCACATGACCATATGTCCAGCCCTGATGGTGATGAAGGCTTTCTCCAGGTCACAAGAAGTCCCCAAGCTCCCCCTGTGTGTCTGGGACCTTCAGCACGGAGCTGGTCTCCCCTCCTGACCCTGCGGCAGTCCTCAGAGCCAGGGGGCAGAGGAGAGGACTCAGGAGGCGGGACCGCAGACGGGCGTGCAGGGCGACCTGATTTTCCTGGGGGAGGGAGGAGGGAGTCCAGGGAAAGTGGCCCCAGGAGACAAGCCAGCCGGCGGCCAGGCCCAGGAGGGCTGGTGGGGCACATTCAGAGTGCGCGTGCAGAGGTGCGCGTGTGACGGCGTCACTGTGGACGGAGAGGTCTCAGGAGAGGAAAGGAGGTTTGAACCAAGGGCTGTGCACCCTGAGAAGTGTCGAGGTCACTGCGGGGTCTGGGGCTGAGCTGGATGGGCCTGTGGGATTCCAGGAGGCTTTGGGAGGACAGCTGCAATGGCAGCTGGTGGGAGGATAGGAATGGGTTCTCCAAGGTGGCAGTTGCAGCCCAGGGCTGGGGGACAGGGGTTGGGCTAGAGCGACGGGGCCCTGAGCAGGTGGACCAGCCCTGGACTCACCCAGCGGCAAGCTCAGGACGGCGGCCAGCAGGAGCCCCTGGTGCAGCTGCATGTTCTCCTGGCGAGGTGGGGCTCTGGGCACCCTGGCCGGCTGCCTTATACCTGCTGGCACCCCGCCCTGGCCCTCACCCGCGCAACAGACTCTGCAGGTCTGAGTCGCCCAGCAGCCAGGCTTAGCCAAGGAGCCGGGCGGGGGTCCAGGCAGTCTGAGGCCAAGCTGGCCCCAGCGCTTGCTAGTTAGGCCTCCGGGCGGGCCTGTGTAACCTCATGAGCCATCTTTCCTTGTCCATAAGTAGGGATAACACTGGGTGACGGGATGGAGGATTCCATAAAACAGCCTGGCACCAGGCAGACGACTGCCATAGGCCAGTCTCCCTCAGCGGCTGGGAAGGAGGGTCTGGCACCAGCCACCAGCCCACCCCTTCCTCCTCAAAATGCACCTGAGGCTCAGGGCTGGGTGGAAGCCTGAGACCATCACCTGTACCTCACCCTAGAGTGAGCTGGATGAAAAGACCTCCTCCAGAGAGGCCGGAACTTTCCCACCTCATCCCTCCCAGGGCTGGGAGAGCCGAGGGAGCATGGCGTGAGCAGCCTCTCCGTCTTCTGTACAAGCAATCACAGCCACTGTCACACTGTGACTAATGTCCCGGGATCTGTGCGCAGGAGTGGGGGTGGGGGGGCAAAAGGGCCCTTGGTCATAAAAAGGGCCCCAAGGATAAAGTAAGAGCCCAGAAGGGACACCCTGGACAGTGGGAGCCGTCGGCGGTTCCTCCAAAGGCTGGTGAGGGGCTGGGGCCCCAAAGGGCCTGTCTGCAGCGAGTCAGCCCTGACCACCAGGGGCCTGTGTGTGTCTCTCGGGCTGCCCACATGGCTTCCATCCACGCTTCTGTCTGGGGGACTCCTTAGGGCTGCGAGGTGGGCCCAGAAGGAGGGAGATGCTGAAAGAGGGGCGGGTGGGTGCAAGTCCTCCGTCCCGGGCAGTCGAGAAGCTGGGGTCAGGGACTAGGCAGCCAGAGAGTTCAGAGATGGTGGGATGGGGTCCCGGGGTCCTGGGGTCCCACCCCAATTACCCAGCACCCCCAGCCTTCCCCAGGGACTTGTCTGCCCCTAGATGGCATGGGGGGTGGGCCTCTCTCCCATGGAACTGGGGGCAATACTCGGCAAGCCTGAGGAGCCCAGCCTCTCTCCCTCCCAGGCCTGGCTCTGAGGACAGGCCAGGCCTGGAGGAGGCAGGAAAAGCCCGGGGCCTGGACCGGGTGGGGTAGGCGGGAGAGCAGCTGCGTGGAGGCCGAGGCAGTGGGGCTGGAGAGAGATGATGAGAATCTGTTCATTTATTCACTGCTCAGTGAGATGCTGGCTGGACCTCTCCTGGGTGCTGGGTACATGGTGGGCCAGGAAGAGAGCGGCTGGGGGTGGAAGTCCATGTCCTGGTTAGGGTTAGGGCTAGGGCTAGGGTTAAGGTTAGGGCAAGCATTAGCAGCAGGGCATGGCCCTGGGAAGCACCTGGACCCCAGGACATAAGATGAGGGAGAGGCGCCATCTGTTCAGCCGACACCTATGCCCACCAGAGTGGTGGAACCAAGCACCCGCAGAAAAGCCTGACATGTCCAACGTGGGGGCCTCTCTGCTTCTTCTGACCGTTTTCAGGGTTTTAGAATTTTGAACCTAATCACCTTCATGAGAGAAGGCGAATCAGACACTACCTGGGGGAGGAGATGGCAGCCGGCCTGGCCCCACTTCCCCGGGACCCCCACCTGGAGGAAGCCTGCCCAGGGCTGCAGCCCCGCCCCCACAGACCCCAGGCCAGACCAGGGCTCCTGCTGGAGCCGGCTTCCTTGCCCATGCTGACCCGGCCACGTCCCCAGGTCCCACCCCAGGGTCACCGCCTGCAGCTCTCACATCTTCTTAGTGGCTGATTCCAGTTTCCAGGAGAAGGTATAACATCTAGGGAGCCAGAGCCGCCCAAGCAGCCACTCCTGAGCCGCTTGGAAACACAGACAGAGGCACAGACAGCCCTGGGCATGTACCTCATCAAGGGGCCCTCGGTTCTGCCGGCGAGATACCTTGAAGTGGGAACTGGACCCCTGGGGTGGCTGGTGCCTCTCTCTACTCCCACTTTGCCTGGCACCCACGGGCAGCACCAGGGCTTACGCTACGACCCAGGGCTTCTCAAACCTCCCGTTCCACATTGCTTCTTCTAAGCTTTCCATTTTGCAAACTCACCTACCCCTTCCCAGGCTTGGGGGTCCAAGGAACCCCAGCTGGTGGGAGAAGCGGCTGCACCATGGTGCCTGGGTGGTGAGAGGGCCAGGAGGTGCTACTGGGGGCAGCTGTTTCACCTCCCTGTGCCTCAGTTTCCTCCCCATCAAGGGGGCAGGATAATGGCTCCCATCCCGCAGGGCTTCTGGACAGTGCTCAGAGCCACAGTGCAGTGGGGGACCCACGTCCGCCGCCACCTTGATGGATACAGCGGGACCCATGTACTGGGGTGGCTTCTGCTGGTGCTGCCCGGACCCTGCTGCACACCGTGCGCTCCCCACGAGCGGGCCTGGCCAGCATTTGCTGAGTGCCTCCTGTGTGCTCTGTGCCAGGTGCCCAGGGCAGGCCAGCCACGCAGAACGGTCTGTGGTGCTGGGGACAGTGCTGTCAGTGTGGAGCTGGCGCAGGTCAGGGTCGGGGAACAGTGGACAGATGGAGGCAGGAGGCAGGGGCGAGAAGCTGCCCACTCCACCCATCAACACCACGGCACTCCAGCTCCTGCAGCTCCTTGTTCTCAGCTGCCGCTGAGCCCCGGGTGGCCAGGCCTCCTCCCCTTCACCCCACTGAGCCATGAGACAGGGAGGACCTGATCGGGGAGCCCCTCCCAGCCCTGGCCCAGGAAGTCACCCGATGGGACGAGAGGCTTGCGTGCGGCGCAGTGACTGCTCCCAGGCCTCCCACGGACAGGAGCCTTTGGGGCTGGAGGGCCCAAAGCCACTTCCCTCCCAGCAAACATCGCAAGGCCTTGCCGGCTGCAGCCAAGAGGCCTCAGGAGGCACCTGGCACCCTCACAGCCGCCCCAGGCCAGGCCTGCTCTGGGGGTAGGGGCGGGGGGAGTGCTGGCAGCAGCTCCTTCCCAGCTCTTGGCCTGTCTGTCGCCCTTCTTCCCTCTGGGGAGTCATGTTCCTCCCATTCCAGGCCTGTTCCCACACTGCCTTCCTCCAAGAGGAACCGGCCCCCCTCCTGTCCTCATGTCTTCAGGGCCGACAATCAGCCCCAGCCCCAGGAGTAGCATGCAGGCCTGCCTGCAGACTGGCTGCCAGGAGACCCCTGGGTTGCAGACTCTCCTCCCCCATCCCCCAGGGTCCCACATCAAAGCTCTCAAGATGCAATTTTCAGCAGGGGCTCCCCTGACCAGGACCACACTTTGGGGCAGGGGCAGTCACTGCATGGTCTGTTTCCATCCTGCCCATGCAGGACAGCTTGAAGTGCTGGGAGGGCTCCTCCGAGGACACCAGAGCCGGGGGCACTGGTCAGGCGGGGGCCTCAGGTGCAGCATGACTGATGGCACTAAAAGGTCTCATGCCCCCACTGGCCCCATTCCCTGGGAGTCCCTGGGAGTCTCCACCCCAGCTGGGGCTTCTGCCCCACCCTCCCTGCCAAAGCAGTCCCAGGTGCAAGGCGCTGGGGCACCCACTCACTAACCCAGTCCTGCTGTGGGGAGAGGCTGGGTCTCCGCCCTCCCCACCCCCACCCTCTCGTGGCCACAAGAGGGTGGCACGCTCCCACCTCCCCACGCCCTCGCCTGCCCCCCAGCTGCTCCTGACCCCCGGCTCATGGGTGCAGCCCCCAGCCCTGCTCCACCAGGCCCTGCTGTGGTTGGGGACCAGGCCTCAGCAGGCCACCTGCACTGCCCTGCCCCTTTCCCTCCCTACCCAGAATAGCACTGGCCTGGGCAGCGACCAGGACACACCAAATATAGCACAGCCCAGCTCCTGCCAGCCTCAGGCCCGGCGCCCTCCCTGTGAGGGGGGGGAAAGGTCAAGGGGTTTCACTGAGCAAGAGGACACAGACCCCCTTACTGGACCTGGAGAAGACTCTGCAGCGTCGGGGGTCTTGGGGGCCTGCTGAGGCAGAGCCGCCCCCTCCCCTGCGAGGGGTGGCTCCCAGGCGGCCTGGCAGCCTTCCTAGCACAGGGACGGTGCCCAAGGCCTTCCTCCCACAGCCGGGTCCCGCACCCGCCCGGCAGCTCCTGGCCTCACGAGGAAGCATGGCAGCCGTCCTCCGCCTGGAAGAGCTCTTCCTCCTGAGTCCCCCCAAGTTCCTTGTCTTCCCCTGCCCCAGCACAGCGTGGGCAGGCGGAGGCAGGGCCTTCCCGGAAGGTGGGCTTGGTCACAGCATCCATCTGCTCAGTGCTCCTCGCCTGACTGGGACCCTCCCCATAAACAGCACTGCGCCAGAAGCCCCCAGCCCTGGACAGGCAAGGGGCTGAGCCCACCAAGGCCAGACGCTTTTGGGACCCCACACATCAGCCTTTAGGAAGCCAAAGGTCAAGGCCTGGAAGTGAGGTCACGTGGTGGCTGGGGGAGAGGCGGCTGGGGTCAGGCGTCCTCTTGCCCACAGGCCCAGGTCCTGGGCATGGCTGAGGAGGTCTCAGGGAGGGTGGAGAGTGAGGCAGGGCGAGCGGGGTGCGAGGGTGCAGCCGTGTCTCCCGAGAGCTTTGTTCTTGACTGGGTCTGCCTGGGGGGTTTTAGAGCAGACCCCAGAGGGTGGCCAAGAAGATGGGGGCCAGGGCCAGGGTCGCTGGGGCCGCAAAGCCGGCGCCGTTACAGAGGTCGTATTGGCAGCAAGAGGTGGTGGACGCGTGCTTGGAGTAGCCATCGTACACGGTCTCGAAGCAGCTGGGTACGCAGGACTTGCTCACCTTCATCCTGGTGGGGGTGTAGTCTGCAGGGGGGTGGGTCGGTGAGCCAGCTCCCCGTAGAGGGTTGGGGGCACAGCCGGCCCCACCCAGCATGCAAGGCCATGAGGGGAGAGCCCTCAGCTTGGAGCTTCACGACAGGATCCGGGGACAGGCCTCCTTCCTCAGGACTCAACATGCTCAGGGGCAGAGAACAGGCCTCCTTCCTCAGGACCCGACATGCTCAGGGGCAGGGCAGAACCTGCCCCCCATGCTCCCCAGGCAGGGCCACGCAGGGCCTCCAGACTCACAGGTGCGCGTGGTCATGCAGTAGGCAACCATAGCTGGGCAGCGCATGGGGTTGAAGCAATTGTCTCCGTTGTAGGCACACACGTGGCAGTCCAGGGCCTGGGCTGGGCCGGCAGATGGGCGGGAAGGGAACAGGGGTCACAGAACAGGAGAGTCCCCTACTCCAGACACCAGAGCCCAGCCCATCACCTTCCCCAGGGCAGGGGGCTGGAAGGAGGGGTGGCTGCTGGGATTTCTGGCCTCTTTCCCTACTTTCAGCCCACCTACCCTCAACATGGGCCTGTCCATCCCTCTGTCCTTTGGCCATCTTACCCACAGGTAGGCCCATGAGGGCCACCAGGAACAGGGTGAGCAGGGGCGTCATGGCTGCAGGCAGGAGGGCAGCGTGGAAGTGGGGAGGTGGACAGCAGACAGCCCTGGATCCAACTCAGGGTGGTGCGCGGAGTACGTGGTGCTGGGCCTGCCTCCCACAGCTGCCAGTCTAGAGGGAGTGCCACAGCCCTACACAGCGGGGAGCAAAGACAGGCAGTCAGTGCTGGGCCCTGACGGACCCATGGGGGCCTGGGCATGGATGAGGGTGGGCAGAGGGGCCACCCAACTCAGTGGGTGTCAGGGAAGGTTTCCCAGAGGAGAAAACACTTGGGATCGGACAGGAGGGGAGAAGAGGTCAGGTCATTCCAATCAGAGAGCAGCACCTGCAAAAGCTCAAAACAGCCTGTAGTGCTGGACAGGGGAGGGATGGGAGGAGGATGAGGGGCAGTGTCAGAGAAGGAGTGGGGGTGGGCAGTGCTAAGGGGAGGCAGAGGGGCCTTAAATACCAGCCCCAAACAAGGGCTTTACCCAGGGGATGGTTGCTGCAGAGGTCCTATGGGAACTGGTCTTCGCCCCCATTCCACACAGGGCCCTGGGGACGGATGACTGGCCACGGCAGGACTGGGCCCGAGGCCTGGGTCTCTTCTTGCTGTCTCCCTCCCCTCTGCTCCTGGAGTGTCCCTACTTGGTGCCCCTTCTTTCAGGAAGACCTCCAGAGCCCTGATTAGGGCTGTCTGAGTCCTTGGCCACTGCAGAAGCTCCCCAGCAGTGATGAGCTGTGCCCAGCTTGTGGGGAATGCATTTTCAGCGCCCCCGGGGAGGACACTTGGGCCAGACCGGAAGAAGCAGGCTGGGTCTGGTGTTTGGAATGCGGATGCCTCCTCTCTGGAAAGAGGTTTACAGCGGGGAGGTGGGGGTTGGATTATGATTCCCCATCCCCCGCGGGGATACTCAGCCGTCGATCCCCGTCCTGGAGGACTAAATTAGACTTATCCTGTCCTGAAAACAACAAATCTGTTTTTCATGACACATTTGCCAGGCCAACCCCAGGATGCCAAAGACCAGAGTCGGGCGAGGCCTGCGGCTCGGAGCTTCCCGCCCCCTCTCGGAGAGCCCCGCCCCAAAGACTGCAGTCCCGGGTCGAGGGGAGGGCTCTGGGCGCGAGCAGAGCTATTACGGTGACCTCACCTGTGACCTTCACCACCTTGAGGCACCGCCGCGCCTGCGAGTCCCCGCGGCCGCTCGCCAGTAGGTGCCTCCCTCGGTCAGACTGTACGCGCGTCTGTGTGCCCCGCAGCACCGGTGCCGCATCGGCAAATGCCCACCGCAGGCCCAGCCCCAGTCCCGCCCCCGGAACGACCCGCCCAGCCAGAGCTCCCCACAGGCCCCGCCCCGGCTCCGCCTCCGTGGCTACGCACCAAGCCAAGCTCACCGCAGGCCCCGCCCCTGCCCCGCCCTTTCCCCGCCTCCCGAGCCAAGCACCAACCCAAGATCACCGCCAGCCCCCGCCGCGGCCCCGCCTCCTGGGCTACTAACCAAGCGGAGCTTACTGCAGGCTCCGCCCCCGCCCCGCCTCCTGGGCTACCCACCAAGCGAAGCTCACCTCAGGCCCCGCCCCTTCCCCGCCCCTTCCCCGCCTCCCAAGCCAAGGACCAACCCGAGATCACCGCCAGCCCCCGCCGCGTCCCCGCCTCCCGGGCTACTAACCAAGCCGAGCTCACTGCAGGCACCGCCCCCGCCCCGCCCCCGGACGGCCGGTTCGCACGGCGAGCGCTGGGACACTGACGCCGGCCCGGGAACCTGGATCTCCAGCAGAGGCCGTGGGGCAGTGACTCCCCGGCGACCCTCAGACCCACGTGTTCTGCCGGGACACTGCGCAGACCATCTTCACCCGGACCCGCGGCAGCCCAGCCTTCCCCGCAGCCGCCTCCGCCCGCTCGGTCACGCCGCGTGGCTCGCCGCCCCCGCCCCGCGCTCCTCCCGCGCAGTCCCAGCAGCTCCGGAGCAGGCGCCCTTCACCCGCGGGGTCCCTGGCGCCGCCGCCTCGCTGCTCCTGGCCTGCGCCCGCTCAGCCTCCACGCTGGTGCCCCCTAGCAAAGCTGGAAGGCAGCCCCGGAAGGCAGCCCCGTGCTGCGGGGTCCTCTCACCATCATAATGCTAATGTGAATAATTATCTTTACATTAAAGACTTACATTGTTGGTTCTGTTTTTGGCAAAATGTAATAGAATTTCATGGGTCCTAAAGCTTTCATTTTTTTCTAACGTGAGAAAGAAGATAAAACATTTTCTTTTCTCATTTTTTACTTTAAAACATTTTCGCGGGCCTGAGGTGCAGAATACCCCATGTCTGCTGGGCAAGCGGGCTCTGGTTCCGGGAAACCCCTGGGTCCCGGCACACTAGGCCAGTGGGTCGTTCTGTTTGCCGAGAGGTAATGCGCGCCCTAGCGTGCCAGGAGCCAGGGAGAGGGCAGACAATAAAACCAGCAGACGTTCCAGAATATTCCCACCCGATGGAGCTCACACTCTGGTGGGAGAAGAGGCGTAAAATGAACAAACAGGTCAGAACCGGAGTGTGTGGCAGGCTTCAGCCTCAGACCGCTATGAATTAACCCTCCAGCCTTAACTAAATACGAGGCCAAATACACAAAACAACGCGTTTTTAGCTATAACTCAGCAGTGGACGGGCAACACAGGGCAGTGATCCCTGAAAGAACCGACGCAAATGAAGTGAGCTGCAGGATGGGGGCAGGGAGGGGCCTAGAGAGAGCCCAGGGCCTCCGGATGAGCAGAGTGGAGCATCCTGGCAGGGCGGCTGAAGTCACAGGACAGGAGGCTGGAGAGGAAAGAGCAACGGACAGGGGAGGAGGGAGAGGCCCAGAGGCTTCCCTGAGTCCTTAGTGCAGGACCAGTTATGGCAGCATTTGAGGAACCTCCCCCAAAACATGGAAGGAACCGCTGGCAAGGAGCCGTAAACAATTCCCAGAGCTCACCCTGGTGGGAAGCGTGCTCCGGGGTGCAGGGGGAGGAGAAGCCCATCGTGCACCCGCCATCCAGCTGTGGCCTCAGAAAGGAACCACCTCAAAGGCCAGTCAGATCAGCCCCAGGCTAAAGACCAAATTCAGCCCAAGCAGCAAAGCATCAATGCATGCCTTGAAAGGATCTGTCTCCAAGTAACTTAATTGCATCCAAGAAAAAAACCTTAAAATTATTTAAAGGAAGGCTGGGTGCCGTAGTTTAGGCCTGTAATCCCAGAACTTTGGAAGGCTGAGACCCGCAGATCACCTGAGATTGGGAGTTTGAGACTAGCCTGATCAACATAGAGAACCCCCATCTCTACTAAAAATACAAAAAGTTAGCCCGGCATGGTGACGCATGCCTGTAATCCCAGCTACTTGGGAGGCTGAGGCAGGAGAATTGCTTGAACCTGGGAGGTGGAAGTTGCGGCGGGCGGAGGTCACGCCATTGCATTCCAGCACTTCAGCCTGGGCAACAAGAGTGAAACTCCATCTTTATTTAAAAGAATACAGAGACAGCCCCACTCCCATCAATACAAAATTCATTCAGTAGAATGTCTGACATCAAATGCACGTCACCAGGCATGCAAAGAAACAGGAAAATTGGAGCCACATGGGCAGAAAACATGAGTCACACAGAGGAAGTCTTAGTAGGCAAGCATGTTAACACAGATTTTGTGGGTTTGAAAAGCATGAACATATATAATGGGGGCATAGCAGTTTTAAAAGACACAAATCAAACTTCTGAAAATGAGAAATAGGTTTAACGTGAAAAATGCACAGTGTGGGATCAACAACAGATTACAGACGACAGGTGAGCGAACGGAAGCGCAGCATTAGAAACTACTAAGAAGGAATCACAGGGCCAGGGGCGCTGGCTCACACGTGGAACCCCAGCACTTTGGGAGGCCAAGGTGGGCATATCACGAGGTCAGGAGTTCGAGACCAGCCTGGGCAACATGATGAAACCCCCATCTCTACTAAAAATACAAAAATTAGCCAGGTGTGGTGGCACATGCCTGTAATCCCAGCTACTTGGGAGGCTGAGGCAGGAGAATTTTGCTGGAACTCAGGAGGTGGAGGTTTCAGTGAGTCAAGATCACGCCACTGCGCTCCAGCCTGGGTGACAGAGCAAGACTCTGTCTCAAATATATATATGTGTGTGTGTGTGTGTGTGTATACACACACACATACATATACACACACACACATATACATATTTACACACACAATAAAATAAAATAAAAATATAAAGGAATCACAGAAGAAAAGCCAAGACTGCCAGTGCGAACAGAGCCTGTGGGAGCTGCGGGCTGCTCTCTTGTGGGTAACACTCCCATGGGCACCGAGGAAGGAGAACTGTGCAGACCCCAGGCACAATTAGTGCCTGAAGTATAACTCACTGCTCACTATATCTACCTTATATATAATCATCAGTATATCTACCTTATATATAATCATGCTTAGTCCCGTATAATCTTTCTAGATAATCATGTAATAACTCACTGCTTACTATATCTAGCTTATGTATATATAATCATGCTTAGTTCCATATAATCTTTCTATATAATCATATAACGGATGTAGTCGGAGCTGTACCGACACATTTAGTGCTGATTTATAGAATCCTTCCAAAGAACCACATAGTAGTCTGTAGTAGGAGGAATGCCTAGAGCAGTCACAGAACAGAAGCAGTACATGGGAAAACAGGCAGACCAGGACGAGAACCAAAGACCCAGGCGGTGGTGTCCCTGCCTGAAAGGGCACACGCTGTATGGCAGGCTTGGAGCAGGAGCCTCTCCTCCTGATAAAGGAGTTGTAGCACCTTGCATCCAGTTCCTGTGGAAAGTAGACCTCAGGCCTGAGATCCTGGAAGTAACCGAGGGAGAGGAACCCCTCTGTGTGACCAGTCACGGCGGCTGTACACCCTGTCAGTCTTTTCTCACTTCTGTGCTAGCGCAGATCATCCTCCCATAAATATCTTAAGAGAAGAGCACAAGTCTGTCAGCTCCCACTGCATTGGCTTACAGTATCCTTCTGTTAGAAACCCTTTGAAGTCTCCAGCCTGCAAATAAGAAGTGTTGCGCACGACACCTGTTGCACACAGCCCACCTCCTTGCCTCGGTGACCTTATGGGGGTGGACCCCTTTTCTATACATGACCCTCTACTACTGCGCACGGCACAGCCCCCTACTGTGCACGGCCCACGTCTCTGCCCAGGTGACATAATGGGGTGGCCCCCTTGCTTGTGACTCACATGATTGTGATTATATATACCCTATCACTAAGCCTGTAGATGATGACCTCACTCACGACCCTGCCCCCTGCTTGTACCTAATATGCAGATGCTTCTGAGCGTTCAGGGCCTCGCCTGTCTCTGCTCATAGGCAGCGTGGCCCCCTGAGTCCAGATACTCTTCTCCAGTTCTTCGGTGTCCTGTCTCTACTTCTCGGATCCTGCACCTCAGTGCAGCATAAGGGACACCCCATGACCCTGTGGGGCCAACAGCCCTGCACTCTCTGTGTGCCATTAGGGTCACAGAAGAGAGGAAGAAGGGACAGGAGCAGATATGCAGGAAACAGTTGCCAAGATGTTTTCAAATTTGCCGCAAAGCGTAAACCTGCAGAATCCAGGGATTCAGTGAACAGCTAAGCATAGAAATATGAAGAATGCTGCATCAGAGAGTCATCACCCAATTGCTTTGCACTATGACAGAGAAAAAAATGAAAAACAGACATTATGTACAGAATATTCTTGTCAGTAACAATCCCAGCTGGGACAGTGAAGCAGCGTTCAAAACACAAAACAAACAGAAATTCCACCTGTCAATTTGAAATTACAGGTATTGATCGACTTACGACCTATGCAACTTATGACCATTCGACTTTACGACCACAATTGCTAGCCACGACTGCTCCGCATCTGGCAGCACAAACGTTGCCCAGCTGGGCGTACGACAGTGCGGACCAGCTTCCGGCAGCACTACCATCTCCTCGTGCACCATTTCAACTGTTATCCCAGACTCGGTACAGCAATTTGTGTTTTGTGTCTTGGATATTTTTCATCAACCCCCCCCAATAAACTTCTTATACATTTCGAAGCAATGGACCCAAACATCGAATGATTTGCAAGGATTGAACGGATGGCACACGATGTGTTTCGTCCGTATCGTGAAATTTATGAAGAAAAAAAGAAACATACAATTCAGACAAAGCTCACCATGTTTATGAAAAAACCAACTCCGGTAACCCCAACTGCTGCCTCAGATGACGACATCAGTGATCCGCAGCCAAGCACCAGTGGCCGATAAAATGTTTCGTACATGTTTATGTATTTTGATATGTTTTGCAATTGGGAAAATGTTTCCTATGGTATTTTTTACACCTGTATT